TACTTCTGTATTTATACCACCTTGGAAACCCAAGGAGGGGTTGCTATGAGTTGAGGTTGACTCGATGGCATATAACAACAACAACAAGTTCACCCCTCTGTAATCTGGATTCTGCTACCACGACTCCAGGAAAACTGGCCTCATTAAGATCACCAAGACTTTCTTGTTGCTAAATAAATAGACATCTTTCATTCCCTATCTTTCTAGGCCTTTTTGCTGCATTTGACAATTATAGTGATTTCCTCTTTCGAGGCTTCTACTCTAGGGGTCACAAATACATAGACCTTCAGGGGCAAGGCCAGTCACAGAAGATAATGCAGCATAAGGAGTGATGGAGCTTCAGTTGAACTGGAAGGTATATGTCTTTCTAAAGGTATTCAAGTTCTGATTTAAAATTTTTTTAAAATGCCATTAAACAAACTTCACAACTCTGGGCACTTCACTCTCCTGGTTTTCCATTTCTCTGGCTATTTCTTATCTCTTTCATTCATGGGCTCCTCTTCCTCTCCTGCCCCTTAAATACCAGGGTTTTCTTCTCAGCCCGCTGGTTTTATCATTTCCTGCTTTCCCTAGGTGGTCTCATCTTGCTTCCCATGCTTTCAATTTCCTGTATTCCAAAGAAGTGTTCTTTGTAAATTGGGCATTGAAGACCCTTGACAAATAAAATGTAATCATTGAGAACCACCAGCCTGGTCAGCTTCAAACCCATACTAAATTCTATATTTAATGAAGCTGATAAATAACAATGTAAGCAGTTCCTAAGTGTTTATCTAATGCTGAAGGGCCCCATATCTTGGCTATCAATGATAAATGTTTTACTAAGGTTATTTAAGTTTAGAATACTTTTTATGTGTTGAGACTCTAATGAACAAAGTTAAGGACTCTGGTGGTGCTGCCGTTAAGGCATTGGGCTGCTAAGTAAAAGGTCAGCAGTTCAAACCCATTTTTCGATCTACTCCAAGGGAGAAAGATGAAGAAGTATGCTTCTGTAAAGCTTTACAGCATTGGAAACCCTATGGGAGTCATTCTGAGTTGGAATTGACTTTATGGCAGTTGAGTTATTACCCAGAACAAGCTCTGGTGGCACGGTGGTTAAGTCATTTGGCTGCTAACCAAAAGGTCGGTGGTTGAAACCCACCAAGCCACTGTTGAAACCCACCATGCTACTCCATGGGAGAAAGATGAGGCAGTAGGCTTCCATAAAGATTTATAACCTTGGAAACCCTATGGGCATTTACTCTATGAGTTGGAATCGACTTGATGGCAGTGAATTTTTTGGTTATTATCTAAAATTATGAAATCTTGTTGGCCCTAATTTGCCTTCCTTTATACTTTCTTTTTTAAAAAAATGAATGTTGTAGGCCATTGTTGTTGTTGTTATGTGCCGTTGAGTCGGCCCCGACTCATAGCGGCCCCTCCTTGGGTTTCCGAGGCAGTATCACTACGGAAGTAGGATTGCCCAACCTTCCTTCCGAGGAGTGGCCATAGAGGAGTATATTAAGAAGTAAAATCTTATTTTCCTTACCATTTCTAATACAACTTTTATTTTAGAAAAGAAAATCCATTTTTATCTTGGAGAAGAAAATTAATAACCTTAATATAGCAAATATTTCTTAAGAACTTGAGCACTTGGCTAAACACTGTGAAAACAAAGTAGGGGTTTACCTTTTAAAATTA